ATTTATATATATATATAAATAAATTGATGGATTACATTCTAATGTATTAACTCATCATATTGTGTCATAGCATAAAAAGAAAACTTCAGGAAAAGTAAACAGTAGCCCCAGTAAAGCTTAAAAAATGTACATTAAAAGATTAAAACTAGCAAAAAAATTTACCAATTACTCAAAAAAAAAAAACTTTCTGCTGATCCCAGTATAGATGGAGCTCTGGATCTTGAATAAGTATATGTATTACTTGTTAAGAAACTTAAAGATAAAATGTTTACTAAAACTAATGTCTTCCTGGCATATGGACATGCCAAAGCTCAGGAAAACTGACATTATTGATTTTACTGTACTTTTAACCTGCTACCTTATACAACTTTGGACATGAATTTAAGCTTGCAAGGGGAGGTGGGGTGTAGATAATGTATTTTTTATAGTTCCCTTTACACCTTTGTTCCCAAGACTTGCCTAACAAATGTAATGATAATTTAAAATAATTGTAGCTACGTACATATCTTTGAAACAATGAAAATGTGGTTATATATATATAGAGATAGATGAATAATGAAATTATTACAATAAAAACTCTTTCTTGTCTTTCAGTCTAAGGAACATGGTTTTAAATGGACCTCAAGATATTAATGAAGTCGATCGGAATCACCAAAAGTCGGGAGGAATTTTATATCGGTGGGAGAAAAATGGTAAAAGGTAGGACTTGGTAGTAGGTTTGGAAAATTCTTCAAAAAAAATCCATAAAATGGCTTTGTTTATTTGTATGTTTTTTTGGAATTTCGCGCAAAGCTTACACGCTGATTATCTGCGCTAGCCGTCCCTAATTTAAAAGTTATAAACTAGAGGGAAAGCAGCCATTCAATACCACCCAACGCCAACTCTTGGGCTACTCTTTTACCGACGAAAGGTTACATTGGCTGCCACATTATAACGCCCTCTCGGGTGAAAGGACGAGCATGTTCAACGACAGGATTCGAACCTGCGACCCATATATTGCGAGTCGAGTGCCCTTTAGCCATCGGGCCATGTTATGAATTTGCTTATCAAATCGCTGGATTTAGGTGCTATGAGTATATACGATTGTTACGATAATCGAACCAGTAAAACTGTTACTTCAACAGCGACTCCAAGTGTGCAAAACGGTAACTAAGATATTAGTGTTTAGGTCGGAGCGTTTCTATCTCTATGGAGAGTATCTGATGTTAGGCCTAAGTCCGAAAAGCTTTGTTAAAAAAAGAAATTCATTCATTGAGATTGTTTCAGAGCAACTGCCTATTTTCTTATCCTTTTTATCATCCTTTTTAATTTCTATTTATTACTAAATATATATGTTATTCTTATTCTAAGTATCTTCAAGCTACACAAGACATTAACTAATTCATTTCATCTCTACACAGCCGCGCTTACAAGATACTAATCTAGTACACATTCCTTTATTAACATAGCTAGGGTTAACGCCATTACACAACAATGCATTCGTCACCAAGTTGCTAGACCAACACATTGGTCCATGACGTTCTGTTATCTTTTACGGATCATTGTTGTTGATTTTTATTGAATTACATCTCTCGTCTCTTAGATATTGATCTATCGATTGGTTTGTTTGTTTGTTTGTTGAATTTCCCCCAAAGCTACTCGAGGGTTACCTGCGCAAGCCATTTCTAACTTAGAAGTGATAAGCTAGAGAGAGAGAGAGAAAGCACCTAGTTAGCCATCAACACCCACCACCAATTCTTGGGCGACTCTACTCTTTACCAACGAATAATAGGATTCACCGACACATTATAAAGACCCCCACGGCTGAAAAGACGAGCGTGTTTGATGATGGGATTCGAGCCCGTGCACCTTTAACTTAAGATTTTTCTCCTCGTAACATGATTGAGTTACGTAACGAGTCTTCGTCCTATATCTACGTAGTTTAGCACGTGAAAACAAAGCTGCGGACTTACAACGCTAGAATCCGGGTTTCGATACCCGTGGTGGGCAGAGCACAGATAGCCCATTGTGTAGCTTTGTGCTTAATTACAAACAATATCGTGTAAAAGTACGTACATCTAGTCTTCTAACGATCGTTAAAAATCCAAACATAGAGGTCACACTTTACATGGCCTTTCCTGCACTAAAAACCAGACAGCGTCGTTGTAAGAGGCTTCGGTGTGTTCCACTAACCAGCTGGACTACACGCGTTCACGCACAGCCTTTGGTATAGCAGCAAAACGTTGGCACCACCAGATCTGCTAAACGGATAGAAATTATTAAGACGGCAAGTCACTAATTAGAACTTTCACACGACCTGAGGCCAGATCTAATCGCAACTTTCACGATTACACCTCATTTTATGAATAAAGCTTAACGACAGATAAGTCAGCATAAAAATAAAAATATAAAAACCTTACGCACGTGTAAGTTAAATTTAAGTTTAGTTTAGCCTAATATGCACGTAATTCGACAAGTAAAGTGTTATATAAATGATTAAATACCAGTCACATCAAGTGTAAATACCAGTCACATCAAGTGTAAATACCGGTCACATCAAGTGTAAATACCAGTCACATCAAGTGTAAATACCGGTCACATGGTATTTACACTTGAGTGACTGGTATTTACACTTGATGTGACGTTAAGTGTAAATACTAGTCACGTTAAGTGTAAATACTAGTCACATTAAGTGTAAATACCAGTCACATCAAGTGTAAATACCGGTCACATCAAGTGTAAATATTAATCATATTAGGTGTAAATACTAGTCACATCAAGTGTAAATACCAGTCACATCAAGTGTAAATATTAGTAACATCAAGTGTAAATACTAGTCACATCAAGTGTAAATATTAATCACATTAGGTGTAAATACCAGTCACATCAAGTGTAAATACCAATCACATTAGATGTAAATACCATTCACATCAAGTGTAAATACCAGTCACATCAAGTGTAAATATTAGTAACATTGAGTGTAAATACTAGTCACATCAAGTGTAAATATTAATCACATTAGGTGTAAATACCAGTCACATCAAGTATAAATACCAATCACATTAGGTGTAAATACCATTCACATCAAGTGTAAATACTAGTCACATCAAGTGTAAATATTAATCACATTAGGTGTAAATACCAGTCACATCAAGTATAAATACCAGTCACATCAAGTGTAAATACCAGTCGTATTGAGTGTAAATATTAATCACATTAGGTGTAAATACCAGTCACATCAAGTGTAAATACCATTCACATCAAGTGTAAATACCAGTCACATCAAGTGTAAATATTAATCACATTAGGTGTAAATACCATTCACATCAAGTGTAAATACCAGTCACATCAAGTGTAAATACCAATCACATTAGATGTAAATACCAGTCACATCAAGTGTAAATACCAGTCGTATTAAGTGTAAATATTAATCACATTAGGTGTAAATACCATTCACATCAAGTGTAAATACCAGTCACATCAAGTATAAATACCAATCACATTAGATGTAAATACCATTCACATCAAGTGTAAATACCAGTCACATCAAGTATAAATACTAATCATATTAGGTGTAAATACCATTCACATCAAGTGTAAATACCAGTCACATTAAGTGTAAATATTAATCACATTAGGTGTAAATACCAGTCACATCAAGTGTGAATACCAGTCACATTAAGTGTAAATACAAGTCAAATTATGGATTCAAGACTCATTCTGTAAAGTTTCTGAAATAATCTAGATAACATAATTGCGATTTTCCCGAGAGTGTTACAAAGAAATTTATAAAAAAAAAAGTGTTAAATCTGTTCGTAAACCGAACGTTCTTAACATAGATATTTGTTCGTCGTTAACCCTAAAGCCTTACACAGTGAGCCATCGAAACCCGGGTTTTAGCGTTATACAACGTAGATATCGTAGGTAAGGTAGAGAGAGGCTTCGATCTCGCTAATTATTCATCAGACACCTAGTGTTTGAAAACATAATTAACGTCCTTCCATTTACGTTTTAAAACACCGACAAAACATTTCCGAAAAGAAAAAGCGAAAGCAACCATGAACGGGTTAATTGTATACGCACACTAATATTTTGATAAGGCTCTTGTTTATCTACAAAAATTAAAAATAATAAAAAAGGCCTAGCCATGGCCATGTTATTTATTATACACGCTAATATTTTGACAAGGCTAATGTTTATGTCCAAAAAAAAAGTTCTTCAGTGGGTCAGCAGTTAAGTTTACGGACTTACAACCTTACAATTTGGGATTTGATTCCTCGACGCGGATGAAGCACAGATAGCCCACTGCATAAAAACAACATGTTAAAAAAAAAACACGCTAATGTTTTGACAGGGCTCGTTTTTATGCTAAAAACAACAACAACAAAAAAAACAACACCAAATGTGTTCATATTTCGACAAATGATCACGTTCAATAATTCAGAAAATATATAAACAACAAGGAAACCCCCTTTATGAAGCTTTTCAACACGTTTGTTCTGAGAAAAAGGGATTAATGAATCGCCGAAAACTGTGTGATCACTTTGTTATAGTATAATCCAGTGTTGTTGTTTTATTATCTAAAACTTAAACACGTATCTCCTTTAGTTTTACCATGTAGACCTCACTAAGCCTAATGATGTAAATAATTATGTGATTTTCGACATTAAATACATGTTATTTTAGACATTAAATATACGTGTGTGTGTGTGTGTGTTTGTTAGTATAATCCAGTGTTGTTGTTTTATTATCTAAAACTTAAACACGTATCTCCTGTAGTTTTACCATGTAGACCTCACTAAGCCTAATGATGTAAATAATTATGTGATTTTCGACATTAAATACATGCTATTTTAGACATTAAATATACGTGTGTGTGTGTGTGTGTGCCTTTTATTCAACAAAGAAGCGTTTTAAGAGAATAAACTCTGTACGACAGCGTTTTTATAATGGTCACTCTATCTCAGCTGACACTTATCGAATTTTATGGTGTCCCATTCTCTCAATTCTATATATTTCATTCAACCGCGTGTTAGTGGTCCTATAAACCCTAAGGGTGTGTTAGCATTTTTTTTTTTTCGTTAAGCCCATTAGATTCGTCATTCGTTGCTAAGTAGCTGAACTATCAGCGTTCATCCTAGCTGTATTTGAAAATAAATGTTTCTTTTTCTGATCAATGTGTCTAGAGAAAGGACAAAAAAAAACATACTACAAACATAGAGATATTTAGAAACCTGAAACAATTGTGTAAAGATTGTTACTAGATATTTTTTTAGGCTGTTGTTTCAGAGAGGAGAAAAAATTAGAGATTTGTTCTTTAATTTTAAAAAGGCCTATCTGTCAATATGTATATTTGGTACTATAAGCAAAAAAAAAACTATACCCCCCATAAACTCAAATTTCACAAGTACACAACATTAATCTTCTTTGTTTATTTTAACTGTTTGTTTGTTTGTAATTAAGCACAAAGTTACACAACGGGTATCGAAACCCGGATTCTAACGTTGTAAGTCCGTAAACATGCCGCTTTGCCACTGGGGGGGGGGGGGGGCTTTTAACTGTTAATGAAAAATATTTTCATTTCCTACGTTAAATTTTATCTTTAATGACTTGTTTTTCTAGTATATAATAACGATTTTAGTAAAACAATACCGCAAAGTTAAACGTTTTGCGGGATTTCATCAATATAACCGGATAAGAATAAAGAAATCAACAAACAAAACAAAAAACTAACAAATGAAGTATCATCTTCATGATTACGCGAAAACTAAACTACGTTGGATGTAGATGCACGAGCTGATTTGTAAAGAACTTCAACCTGGTAGAGGTACTTGAAGTCCACACCCGTCACGCTCGTTCGTTCATTTATACACTGAACAAAGTGAGTTAACACAGAGGATGTAGGACAGGGGGAAAAAAGGAAAAGTGTAATCCTTAGTTCCTTCCTATGTTCTTTTTTTTTATTCATATATATATATATATATATAGATAGATTGTTTGTTTGTTTGTAATTAAATACAAAGCTACACAATGGCTATCTGTGCTCTGCCCACCATGGGTATCGAAACCCGGATTCTAACGTTGTAAGTCCGCAGACATACCGCCGTGCCACTGGGGGGTTTTATACATAGAGAGAGAGTGTGTGTGTGTGAGAGAGAGACAGATTTAAAATGTATGCACGCACACACAGGTGTCAAATATAGGTCAAAGTGTAAACATGAGATTAATGAAATTCGCAAATTATGCCTTTCGCTAGTACTACAATTACTGTAAGTTATTTAGTTTGAATTTCGAACCAGAAACAATGATGTAAGTACATTTACTAGTACAAACTGTCCGCGTATTTAGAATTTTAGTTTTTTCACAGAAATATCAGATATTCATTATAAATCGCCACACTATAAAAATAAATATTTTCTGCTGCCACCTCCCGGTTTTTTTTCTCTCTCTCTCTTCCTCCTAAAAGAGACATAACTGCTTAGTTTAATATACGTAAACAAGAATTCACAGAAGTGTGTCACTTTAAATCTATGTACAATAGTGCCCGGTACATCGGTTGTCCAATTAGATAATTTATTTCGAGATTAAACTTTTCAAAGACGTCGTCCACAATCCAATTTCTATAGGATCACACATCAAATAACAACAACAACAAACGCTTGTTGAGTGTGAATCTGAACGTCCGCCATATAAATATATAAACACATTTTATTTCGCTTGTTGCACTAATATCCACATAATCATTCACCAGATTTGTATCTTTTTTTTTTTAAATCCACGTTTATTCGTTCACCCACAAGGTAACTCAAAGCCTCTTACCTGCTCGGCTCAAACTGATCATGGTAAAACTTTCTTTCCTGAGTCAGCTTGAATATACGGAATACACTTCTCAGGTTATGTATGATACATGTGTTAAACAGACACATACAGCGCTGTGGCGCCTTCGGGGGTTTCTGCTCGATACTTATATAGTGTGACGTCAGTACTTTTAGACCAATCGGAGTTACCTACGTGTTTATGCCTGTCTGTAATGTAAGGGCTATAGATTGCTTTTGCAAAAGCTACTAACTGTGAAACACTCTCAAGCCAGACTTGCTAAGTATTGTTTTTTGTTTTTGTTTTTAGATTGCAATTACTTGTTTAATAGGCATTTGTATTCACAATCAGTCTTTTGAGCTGGTAAAAATTTGTTTAAAAACTCGAAGAATATCGGAGTACAATTTTGGAACGTTGGTGAAAATAATCCACAATTTCGGACTTTGGTGTCCGGTGGACAAGGTACAGATAATACAGTGTGTAGTTTTGCACAATAATAAGAACAATTAAGCAAAAAACCAAAACAGTTTTCATTCGTGCGCTTGTAGTATTTCAAATGTGACAAACGTAGTCTCTTTCCAAAGAAAAAATCCTGCAGTGGCTCTTGCTGTAAATGTAAAGGCTTATAATACTAAAAACCAGGCTTCGATACCCGTGGTTGATACAGCACATTGTGTAGTTTTTGCACTTAACAACAAACAAACAAAAGAAAAAGGTTTGTTTTTATTTTCCAAATGTCTCGCCAATGATTGTTAATAGTGTAATATAACGTTTGGAGTTAAATTTAACGACTGCGTTCTTACAACTTAGTATAAGAAGGCTACCAACTAACACGAACGCTTATCATTTTCCGGGTGCAAACACGTACCTAGTTCACGTGGTTTGTTTGTTACTTTGGTCAGATGATGACATAGGTATAAACTAGACTCTTCTTTTGTCTTTAGAAGTTTTCCACGTGCTGCCAGAGTCTTGTTTTGATTGTAAAATGCTGGTGAACGGTTGAATATATATATATATATATATAAAGCTGTTTCACACTGACAGCTTGAATATTTTTACTTTAGTTTTAAATAACACGTGCAAGGCTTAGAATCTTATTAATTTGAGGTATCGTGGGCAATCTTCTGAGAGGAACCTATGCAGTTTAGTTTTGTTTTTGGTGGGTTGAGGGGTGTGGAGGCACCGATCGATATGGAATATTTTCGATTTAAGATATATTGTTATTTCATGGCTAATAACGAAAACTTAAACACTGTTGATTTCTTAACTACTACGTTATGTCATATGTGAAAACCTCTTATGAAACTCGATAAAAAAAGACGATCGTCGAGCGCTTTCGATTGTAGGTTTCCGCGCAGTTAACCCTAATTAGGGTTAGCGATAAAGTAGAGGGAAGGCAACTAGTCAACATTACCCACCGCCATTTTCTTGGGCCACTCTTTTACAAACAAATGTTGTAATTGACTGTCACATATAATAACACACACACGCCCTGTCTGAAAGGACAAGAATGATCGGTAACAAGATTCGATCCCGCGACCTACATATTCTGAGTCCACTAGCTGTCCCTCATATAGAAGGATAGAGTAGAGTAGAAGGAAGGCAGCTAATCAATACCACCCACCGCCAACTTCTTAGCTACTTTTCTATAAATGAATATTTGAACTGACCGTCACGTTATAACGCCCCCACAGCTGAAAGGGGTGAATATATTTGGTGACGGGATTTGATCCCGCGACCTGCAGGTTGCGAGTCTAGTGCCTTAACTACCATGTCATGCCAGACCCCCCCCCCCCGTTAAAGGGAGATGATGAAGCATTTTTAGATCTGAGTTGGCTACTTTGGTGTTTGTTTGTAGTTAAGCACAAAGCTACACAATGGGTGTCGAACCTGAGTTTATAGCGTTGTAAGACCGCAGACATTTCGCTATGCCACTGGGGAGGGGGCGCTACTTTAGTGTTCCACACCCCCTATTTTTCCAAGAGCCGTGTTTCCAACAGGTTTGCAATGTTTTCGGAGGGTTTAAAATCATGCCGGTCATCTGCGCAACAATTGAAGTGATTAGCGTATAAGGGTGCACAGCTAAGGGTCCAAGGTTCGAGTCGAGAACCCACTGAATGCGCTCCGCCCTTTTTAAATTTTGGGCGCACTCCCTTCTTGTTAGTAGCTCAAAATCTGATTCGAGTACAACTGAACGCGACTTTTAACCACATATAGTATCATGCTAACCTCTCTTACAGCAAGCGCCTTGAATGTATCACACGAAAAACAACAACAACAAAGAAAGTGTGGGACGACATGCCGGAACAAAGCTTCGCACGTGCATTAAAATGTTAGGTGTACGGGGGAAAAAAAACTGTGTTGAAAATTCAATTTTGAACTTTTCCTCAGCTCATAATTCTCTATAGCCCAAAATATCTCTGACAAACAAATCAATGTGGGCTTACTTCCGATAGGCTGTTCACTGTAAAACGAAGTACAGAAAACATATGATTATTCCTAAGGTCCTGCTACCTCTGCTTAGCAACCATCGATTTTCTCATGCTTCGCTGAAAGATGAGTCCATATACGAACAAGTGCATTTATAAGCTTCAACACGCACATCATTTTTTATTTTTTATTTTTTTACATTTTGCAGTACATGTGGCTTGTTTATTTCTTTTGTCAGATGATGACATAAATAGAAACTTTACTCTTTTTCTGTTATTCGTTGGTGAATGTCTAAAAACATTTTTTCTGACCACTACAACAGTTTTACTGTAGCTTTAAAGAACAGGTGCAAGGCTTAGAAATATATTGTTAATTTGAGAGATCATGGGAAATTTTTGCAGCTTCCATGTCCCATGATATAAGAAGAACATTTATTCGATACTGGTTGAAACAAAGTACTAGAATGTTGCCCGTAAAGTACTTGAATGTTGCCCGTCGATGATAAAAGAAAAGACTGGATATCTAAATTGATTATCTTATCAATATCTTTTATAAATCGTATTTAAAAATCCACTTAAAATTGTCATAGTTTCGGAGGACCGACGTCCCGAAAATTGAACGTCAAAGTAATTACACATGTAGGCCTAATGTTCATTCAGGTTATTATATTACACAAATAGTAATACGTGTATAATGTTATATTAGGGTTAGGGACATAAGCCTAATATTACGAGGTATATTTGTAATCATTCTGGAGACCTATCTTTTATGTTACCAGTTATGAAGCCTTTCTAATATTTTTTTAAGAATTATGTCAAAATTCTCAATATAATAATAATATAATTTATTATTATAGAAACAGGATGAAAAAGTTGAATAACAATAAGAAGAATAAAGAAACTGTTGTACAAGTGGCGGGAATTTTTCGGAATATCGGCCTGTCTCCAAACGTTTAAATAATGCTTTGTTTTACTAGATCAAGAACTGAATAAAATTGAGCTAATATTTTAATATTTTATTACGGTGAAACCTTTTAAAACCGTAATTATTTGTTGCCAAACAATTTTTAAAGAGAGAGCTAGATGAACGTAATAAATGAAAATACGATCTAGTGCTTTTCATTAATTTTTTTTTCTTATATAATCAGTCATTAAGGAACTCAACGTTACTACTTTTTCCTCTAAGATTACTATTGGAAAACTAGTTTGTAATAAGAATTCGAAGGTCAGTTTACAAAGAAGAGGGTATATATATATTTATATATGAATTGATAATTATTAATTCAATATAACCTTTGGGTAAGTGTAATATTATTTTAATAGAGTGGTGAAACCTAACGTGGACAATTCAGCTCTTTTGTATTTATCACCTGACAACTCATAAACAAATTCAAGTTGGTCAAGCAAAGAACAATTGTTAAAACAACTATTTTTAAACCCATTCTACCAAGAATCGGTTTGCTTAATAATACAGGATGTTGTAATCAGGCTTAGTTTAAATTTTGTCTTTCGGCAATATGGCTTTAGCACGTGATATGTATGCTCGTGCAGTGTATGTATGTTTATACATGCAGGCACGTGACACGAGACTTCAAATTTTCTTTTGGTGCGTGTGTAGCTTAATTAAGTATTCTGCTTGAAATCACCTAAGCCTAATGACGTTTACTTGAAATGTAACTAAAACTTGCTGAATAAAAAAACTTTTATTAAAACTAGAAACTTCCGGTGTAACTTCTTTACTTATCTACCACGTCACAAGTAACCTAGGACACTCCTCTTTTACTTATTAATAGCTTTATTACTACAAAACTACACGTCCTTATCTTTTGAGTTTGGTTTTTTTCGTAATTACAAGTTTTTTATATCATAATAGATTTTTAAACTTTATGATAGCATTAATCCTCATTTTTCAACAGAATACGTACTTATAATTGTTTAGCACAATTCAAGAAACCGGTTGCGGTAAGGTTTGGTTTGTTTCTTGCTAAGCTCAAATCTACACAATGGGCTGACTGTGCTGTACCCACCACGGGTATCCAAACCCGATTTTTAGCGTCGTAACCCTACAAAATTACCATTAGTCACTAGGTGGCGTTGCAATAAGTGGCAGTCATTTATTCATGGATTAGTTTTTTTGTGAGTTTACTTGATTTACAAGTATTTAACTAGTGTTGATGGTAAACAATAGAATTAAAATAAATACATATCCAGTAAGTCGTGATATTTTGTTTCATTTATTAGGCCTAAAGACTTTTATGGTTTCACCAGCGATGACGTGATGTACTTGAACACTGAGGAAAAAGATAAAGTCTTTGATGCTGGTTTAGTAAAGTAATAATCCCTCTCTGTGCATGAGAATGCAATTTGTCAATACGAACACCCCACCCTCCCAACAATAAATTTTATCACTGAATGCTAACAGGATTTCCCGCTGATTTTCCACTAGTTTCTGTGTGGCAACGTGAAACAGAGCGGAAGAACAGCAATCAAAAACACTCCGCAGAATTGTGAAAAGACGTTTTTCGTTACTTTACCGTTAGCTGTGTTTCTTAGCGTCATTTCGAACATAAAGATATTGCATGCAAAGATATGTACTGCTAGGATTTGTGTCACTGACTCTCGTTAAGTCCTACTTCACTCCAAAAATATTGGTAAATTGTCATTTATCTTATTGAGTCGCGAGACGGTA